CAACAGCACTCACAAATAGCAAAGTAAACATATTTTTCAAAGTTGTATTGTAATACAACAATTTTACTTGTAAAGCAAAAACAACACTTTTAAAACTGTTCTAAAAGAATAGTTGTTTACACGGGGGCGTGGTGGAATTACGCTCCGGTGTAAATATAGCAGAAAGAAATAAATAGAACCAAGATATTGGGATTTTAGTTTTAATTCAATACAGGGTCAATTTATTTCAATATATATATATATATATGTGGGTATAACAAAATATTTAAATACCTTTGGACTGGAGTGGCCTGGTAGCTGCTGTGTGCTCGTTGAACTGCTAAAACCGAAGTGAAGCACTGGACGTGCGGGGTTTTTAATCGGACCGCCGGACAACCGATGTTAAGGGGAAACTTAACGAAGGTTTATTGTCCGGCGGGAAACTTTAGTTAACGGCGCGAATTAATATTAGTACGTGTGCACATGTATGTGTGTGTACATATGCACATATGCCAACATTAGGGCGGGTCGAAAAAATATAGAAATATTTAGGGTGAAGGCCTAAACATACCGGCCCCCTTGCGGCAAGCAACATCCAAAATTTATGCAGCAACTACCAGATCAACTATTAACATGTCCAAACAAAATATTATAAAAATTCATAAAAAATATGTTTCTCTGGTTTCGTTGGAGAGGAGCCAGATTCCTCGTTCGTCGTCCCGCATCGTTTCACTTGCATTCTCCTCGAATCTAAGTTGCTGCTTGAGGGAAAGATATGTAAAATATAAGAGTAAAGATACGTGGACATTTTCAAGTGCACTTTTATTAAGAAGAAAGATTCATAAAAAATAAATTTCAAAAAATTCATATGTAGAAATTCATTCAATCAGAACAGTTATAAATATAAATGTATTGTTTATGTTTATGCTCTGGTAACGCCAGAGAGTACCCATCCGAAGATGGTGCTCTGAGCTAGCAGAGGCCCAAAGGAAGTTGGAAGTATACCCGGCAGGATTACGTCGGCGTAAACGTCAATGCCAAGGACTAGGCGAATGGGAGTCGAACTATAGAAGTGTGGGTCGGCCAACCGAATGTGCTGGTATGCTGTGGCGACGGCAGGATCTACGTTGCTGGCTGGCGATACGCGGTGGTAGTTCCTTTTAACCGTCGCGTGGGTCGCAATACGTTTATTGTCGCCGTGCTTTCCTCGAAGGCATAAGACGCAACCCGTTTGATTTCCGACCCGTGTCTGTTCCAGCCTCAACTCCCGAGCTAGGTCCGCTGAGATGATCGTGGTGGCGCAGCAACTATCGATGAGAGCGCGGACTAGATGAAGGCGCCCCATCGCCTCGACTTTTACCACTGCTGTCGGCGCAATAGCAATCATAGGGCTCAATGTTGGACCCGCGATAGCGTGTTGTCCCAGGAGCCCGTTGCGGAATATGTTGGATGTGGCTACCTGGCGGAACCTAGGAGCAAGCCTATTGTCGTTCTGTCGACGCAGGCGGAAAGGCCTAGTTTCCACTCCGCGCCGTCGCTGAATTCTGCGTGGTGATCCAAGACGCCGTGTGTGCGCGCGGTCTTCTAAGTTGTCGCGTTCATGTTGGAGCAGGGGTCGAAAAGACCTGGTTTCCGATCCCCCATTCATGGCCGGGCGAAGAGTCCTAGTCTCCGCTCCGGACCCACATAAGTCGCTCTGTTCATTTTCTGGACAAAGAGGCCTAGTCTCCGTTCCAGAGTCAGAGGCGCAAATGGAAATCGCACAATCAGCGTTTTCTTCTTCCTCTACTTGAACGCTCCACGGCTTGCTGGTTTCATTCTCTGACCTCCATGAGTCTCTATGTTCATCGATATGGAGGGTAGAATGGTGCTTCTCGTTGCATTGACGGCATCTCGCCTCGCTACTACAATTGTCGGTTTTGTGGTCCATAGAAAGACAGTTGCCGCAGAAATGTCCTAGCAGCGCCTCTCGTAGCCTCTCTTCTGGTGTCTTGGCACGATAAATTGGGCACAGACGAATTGGGTGTTTCCCTTCACACAATCGGCACGCCAAACCAAAACGTTGAGGGTTCTGTATGGCCTTCTGTTTTAATGTGCTGAAGCGACCCATTTTTTCCTGAAATATGTCCTGCTTTAATTTTGTTTTTCAGCTTGTTCGCAGTTGATTACCTTTTTTTATTGTTGGGTGGCGAGTGAATAAGATAGGAATTATTTAAGCATTTGCTATAAAAATCGTTTGTTAATTGCAACAAGATTGGTCAGTCTGAACGTGGCATTATTTTCTATCAATTGCCCTTCTCCAACTAACGCGTGTAAATATGGCTTAATCCAAGTTTGCAACCCACGAAAATGACAAGTGGATCGCACACATGCCATACACTCCATTGTGCAGGGATGCATGGGCAGGGTTAAATTTTATCACACCGAAAATTGTAAATTGCATTTATGGTGTTTGGAAGTGCCAATATTAAGTGCTCTTATGGAAAAGATCTTTTCCGTTAATGACTTGATCTACTAATATTCGTAATTAGCAATTCAACTTCATTGCATGGAGTTGTCAACAACGTATTAATCTACACTCGGAGAGTTTTTAGCCATTCTCGCAACCCTACAACTAGCCTGCCACCCCACAAAAAAGTTCGGATGCCACTGTAGGTGATACTCGGCTAAAAACAGGGTAGCTCATATGCAGCAGAATTCATAAGTTGAATTTCAAATTTTATTACAAAATGTCTTATTTCCTTTTGAATTTTACATAAAAATATGAGAAATAACTACAAAAAGTTAGTGCATTGATATTTCCTCATGACACTGCCTCTTTGAGTGTGTAAAATGTATTTATGTTAGCAAAGCTAACGATTAAGAATGATTGATCGAATGGTGCGATGGTATGCATCAACATATGTTTTTTCCATTTGTGGAACGTATGTATATGTGAATTTATACAACCGTACTAGGACGTCACTACGTTCTGATATGGGTTTAGTACGTTTTAGAAAAGTGTTTAATCTACTCCTCTAGTTCGTTTTATTAAAAAATCTACTCTATAATAAAGTTTTGATTCATGTCAATATTTAGGTATGGATGACGATGATCTTACTGAAAATGAGTCACTACATTGACAATATTTAAATATTCTGTCTATATATGTATGTATAAATAAATTAAAATTGGAAAGAGCTGATTACTGTTTAAGTTAAGTTTAATGTCATTACATAGATCCTCACGTGAAATATTCCAATTTTTTTTGATATTGCGAATGTAAACGAGATGACACCCGGCTCGTACGAAAATTTGTTTTTTACTCCAATTGGTAGAGTGGTGCGTGCCAACATAAGTTTAGTAGTCCGAGCCCTGTTTCACACATATGACATTGAAGAAAACTCATTCACTTCATTGGAAGAATGGGAAGGAAATTGCATTCATACACGAGGGAATTACGCAATCGCAGGTAAGAAGGTTGTAGAGGTTGTAAAAATTAGTAAATTTAATTTGTAATTAACATTAATATTTTTCCTTTTCAGGCAACAAAACTCAAATACCGTTGATGAATTTTATGCCAGTACTTGAGTGGAGTCCAGAGGATGCACTTAAGCTTAACATTAAATAAGTTTTTCGAACCGACAGAAATGAATGCGGAATCGTTTTTCGCACGATGGAAAAATTTGGGAGGCGAGCCACAAAGGGCTCAAAAGGTATTTAAGGCCCAACAGCCCCTTGATCTGCCCGGTGCACGCAATAAGCTGATGGGCTTTGGCATGCAACTATTAGACAGTGTTGAACCCAATCCCGATAATATGGTGTGTGCAGGTATTATACACACACAAACGCAGCAAGTGGGCTGTTTGCTACGGTTGGAGACAAATAAACAAGCACAGATGTTTCGACTAACCATTCGCGCTAGCAAAGAGGCTGTCACCCGCGAAATGTGGGAGCTTCTTACGGATCAGTTTTAAGAAAATAAGGAGCAACGTTTAGACTTAAAATGGGAACAAAAGTATATTGAAAATGCATTATCTGATCGAATTGCTCCACATCGATGTCAAGTATATTTCCCCCAGCTAGTATACCAGCATTATTAACTAAAACATCCAATTTACCGAATTTCTCAATGGCTGTATTGATAATGCGATCTGCGTCCAACGTTATGTCTGCCTTAATAATTAGCAATTCAGCACTGCTGTTCGCTGCCTTGCATGCCGCCTCAGTTGCTGTTAGATTTGCCTCATTACGTCCGACCAGCACCACTTTGGCCCTAATGTTGGCATCTTGTTTTGCAAACAGCTCGGCGGTAGCAGCACCAATACCGGAACTAGCGCCGGTTACAATTACAACCTTGCCGGAGTAAGTCATACTTCACTTCTCACATGGTTGCGAATATGCATTTACAGGTTATATTAAAAAAATGAAATAACATACTTATGTATGTATGTATCAAAGAAATATCACTAACCCAGTAGGCAAATATGTAAGCACCTTAGGAGATAATCCATGTATTATCTAAGCTTTTAGTATCAAAATTGTCGAGTGGGAAAATGTGAAATTAAATATGTATAGTTTATCTACAATTAAATCAAATAAAAACCTATCGTTTGGGCGTTAATGTTAACGAAAGTATATTGAAAAATTGAGAAGGTTTAAAGACGTACAACGTGAGTGGAAAAGTATTAAAAATAAAACAATCTTACATAAGTCCATAAAGGATCATGATGTAAGTTATAACTTGTATATTCAAACTTACTTTATACATATGTATGTGAAAAGGGAAATCAATATAATTATTGCTAGGTTAATTTATTGCCAAAGTGAGACGAATTGTAAAAAGGCAAAACATCCATGCTTTGACAGAGAAAAGTGAAATTATTCTATCTAGTAAACTGGTTTAGCGGGTCGGATCGTTGCTTGAAGCTAAGGAATATGACGAGTAGCTTTTGAGCAAAATACAAATCCATGAAAAGCCTTTTTTTATTTAGTTCAAGTTTCTTTTGATTTGATTCTGTTACACAGAATCTGTATAATCAAAATGTGGTTTTAATGGTGTTTATTTAATGGTGTAGGTTCCAGTCCGGCGTGCGGGTCCCCAGTCCAGCTGACGGTTCTCTTCGTATCCTGGTTTTCAGTTACTTCCTTCTTCATCCTGGTTGGAAATGTCGTTGGTCTGGTAACAAAGTTTTATGTTTTTACCCCTTTTTTTTGTTGTTAACCGTTTATTTGAGACTAATCGATTTGTGTTTTTTATCATAAAGGGTTCCGAAAAGAAACAAATAATGTGGATACCTCGACCACCGCGAGAAGTTATTCTACAATTTTTCCTCCATCTAACCGCAGTGGACCCTAAATTATGTGAGTTTTTCAAATATTATGACTGCTAATTTTTACTTGAAAAAATTTTACCTTTTAAACTTCGGGTGGGGTATTTGCTTCAACTTGCAACTGAATACAAATTCACTCCGCCTCAACTGTGCTGGTCTGCTAGACTTTTGATTCTAAACCCTGGAACGCCAATGTTAGTCGATTCGACCAACACAGTTTATGTTTTGTGGGGAAGTTTCTTGAAAATTCATTTTTGAAATTGGAATTTCATTATTTAAACCACAACATAACCGCATAACATTTGCTTTATTTTAGTTAGCAATTATTATCTTAAGAACATATCGAAAGCTCTTTGAGGATTGATGCTTTAAAACTTAAAAAACATCAGTGCTAAATACGTGTTAAAGATATGATTGGTGTTCCAGGGTTAATGAATTTGTATTCAGTTGAGGCGGAGTAACTTGCTACTTCTGCAATTTTAATTGTGAATTCAGATCTGAGGATGGTCGTTTTTGTGTAACCAGATCAACCCGGGGTAACCCGAGTAAGAACCATCACCATAAATACAAAAAAAAAACAGAAAAAATACTCCCTTTTTATAAAATTATGGCAAGTTAGGAGTGGAATCCCTCCGATTACCTGGAAGTGGAATTTTGTGGTAAAGGGAAGTGGACTAAGCTATAGGTGAAGAAGGCAATTTATAGGGTGATTGTTGGCTCCGAGTTTCCATCGCTGTATGGTGGGAGTAGAACCAATTTCACTAGTGGTCTGGTAACTTGACCTTTCTCCGTCTGGATGTCCACTACGCGCACTCTGCCATCGGTACCGGGGTGTAAGTTGAAAACTCGCCCCAACCTCCATTCAGTTGGGGTAGTTTGTCTTCCCTGATAACTACAAGATCACCTGTTTTCATATTCTCCTTGGGGTGCTTCCATTTAATTCGCTTTTGTAGTTCGGCTAAGTACTCCACTTTCCATCGCCTGCAAAACATCTGGTGAAGTGCTTTTAGTTTTTGCCATCGATTGACGATGGAGGCAGGGTTCTCATTCACATCAGGTTCTGGCGGAGCAATAAGATGTCCACCCGTGAGAAAATGGCCTGGAGTAAGCGGCTCCAGGTCATTTGGCTCATTTGAAGAGGGACTCAGTGGTCGCGAATTAAGGCACGCCTCAATCCGGCACAAAAGCGTACTGAGCTCTTCAAAGGTGTATTTGTGAGCGGATGACACCTTTTTAAAGTGGCTTTTAAAGCTTTTTACACCTGCTTCCCACAGTCCTCCCATGTGAGGGGCTGCAGCGGGTATAAAATGCCACGTAAGTATTTGGTGGTTATATTTTGAAATCGTTTTGTCTCGCGCGTCAGACAAAAAGGCTTTGAATTCAGATCGTAAAGATCGCGAAGCGCCGACAAAATTTGTACCATTGTCGGAATAGATATTCTTCGGGCATCCTCTTCTAGCCACGAACCGAGCAAAGGCTGCTAGAAAGGATGGGGTACTAAGGTCACTGGTGGCTTCTAAATGAATCGCTTTAGTGGTGAAACAAACAAATAGGCAAACATAGCCTTTGGAAATTCGACAACCTCTACCACGGTAACTTTTAATTTCAAAAGGTCCCGTGAAGTCTACTCCCGTATTCGTGAACGCGCGCGTAAATGTTGTGCGTTCCTGAGGAAGAGTTCCCATAATTTGCGTCTGAGATCGTTTCTTGTAGATGGTACAAATTTTACAATTGTGGATGGTAGACCTAATCATGTTTTTTACCCTGGGAATCCAGTACTGGGTACGGATAAGGCGTAACATGAGCTGATTTTCTCCGTGTAAGGAGACTTGGTGAATCATCAGGACGATAAGACGGGACAATCTGCAGTTATACGGAATAATGATTGGATGGCGCTCATTATAAGCTAAGTCCTGGGATGCTCCGAGGCGGCCTCCAGCCCTGATGATGTCGTGCTTGTCGACGAACGGATTAAGCGGAAGGATTTCACTCTTTGCATCGATGGGTTTTCTAGTTTTCAAATTCCTGTATTCTTCACCGTAGTGTTGCTTCTTGTTGATTTTTATCAAGAGATGTGTCGTCATCTGAATTTCATCTGATGAAATTAAACAAGAATTTTCGTGAAATAAAGCTTTAGTTTTCGGGTGAGTTCTTCGATAGAATCTCATGACATATGTTAACACTCTCAAAGCTCTCGGTAGATCTGAAAACCGGTCAAGAATATCGATATCATTTACTTTTGTTGATGCATAAGCGTGTGCCCTTTTTTCTTCAACTTCTGTGTGATAGTTAATTTCTTGAGCAGGCCATTTAGAGTTGTCTTCTTGCAACCAAGAAGGTGCCTGCCACCACAAAAAATTGGTCACCAACTCTGACGCAGGCCATCCTCTGCTAGCTAAGTCGGCTGGATTTGAAGCCGAGTCTACATGCGACCAGTCCCTGTTACCGACTTTTTCTATTATTTTCGTAATTCGGTGTGCGACAAAAGTTGACCAAGAACAAGGCGGCTTTCGTATCCATGCGAGTACGATGGTCGAATCTGTCCATAGATATGTTTTCACTTGCCCTAGGTTGAGGTTGTTGATTACTGATTCTATGATTTCCGCGAGCAGTACGGCTCCGCAAAGCTCTAGTCGTGGTAGCGATATTGTTTTGACAGGAGCTACTTTGGTTTTTGACAAAAGAAGGCTGACCAAAACTTTGTCATCTCTTTTGACGCGCATGTATGCAGTAGCCGCATATGCTTTTTCCGATGCGTCGCAGAAACCATGTATCTCGATGTCATCTCCTGGTGCGAAGTGTACCCATCGAGGTATTCTAATATTGTCTATTTCATGGTAATGTTTGGTAAAATTGTGCCATCATTCCATAGTAGTAGAAGACACAGTCTCATCCCAGTCTGTGCCTTCTAGCCAAATACTCTGCATGATTATTTTGGCCACGACGACTATTGGAGCAAGCCATCCCAGCGGATCAAATAGCTTGGCGATAGCTGATAGTATCGCCCTTTTTGTAGGTGTCTCGCGGTCCTCCAATGGTCTTGCCATGAAATAGAATAGATCTGTATGGGCATTCCATCTTATGCCAAGAGCCTTAACCGTGCTGGTATCTTCGAATGCCAAAAAGTCTTCACTGAGTAGATCCGTTTTTGGGATGTCCTTTAGAATTTCCGCACAGTTTGAGGTCCATTTCCTTAGCGGAAAACTGGCTGACCGTAGTACTTCCGAGATTTCATCTCTTGCTTTTACGGTAGAGTCGATGCTATGTCCTCCAGCTAGCACGTCATCCACATACATGCGTTTCCGAAGTATGTTAGATGCTATTGGGGAAGAGCTTTCTACATCGTCAGCCAGTTGTAGAAGTGTCCTTATCGCGAGGTAAGGAGCACAATTAATCCCGAAAGTGACAGTCTTTAATTCGTATAGACTTACAGGTTCGTTCGGGTTTGTACGGTAAACTATCCGTTGATATTTGGTATGGTTGCTGTCCACCCAAATTTGTCGGTACATCTTCTCGATGTCACTATTAAAAACGTATCTGTATAACCTCCAGCGGAGTATAAGGATCGGAAGATCTGCTTGGAGAACTGAACCTGGGAGAAGTACGTCGTTCAGACTTGTGCCATTAGCCGTTGTACTTGAGGCATTAAAGACGACTCGAACTTTAGTGGAGGCACTTTCTGCCTTTATGACAGCGTGGTGAGGCAGAAAGTAGTTATCGGAAGAGTTTGCTGAAATACTATCATTTATTCTGGACATGTGTCCTAGTGATTCATATTCAGCTAGTACCCTATTATACTCTTTTTGTAGGACGGTATCCTTTGCAAGCCGTGTCTCATTCCGGAAGAACTGAGAGCATGCTTTTTTAAGAGAAGGGCCTAGGCAGATGTTTGCGGGAAATTCCTGCCTGAATGGTAGCGAGACTACGTATTTTCCGTCTTCTCGTCTACGAGTTGTCTCCCGATAAAGTTTGTCACAGTATTTGTCGTCTTCGTTCAAGCTTTTGTTTTTTGGTATGTCTTCGAGTTCCCAGAATGAAGTAAGTTGT